ATTAAGAGAATTATAAATAAAATAGAATAAACAAAATAAATAAATTATACAAAAAATATAAGAGTAATAAAAGAAACAGATAAAATAGAAATTATTATTGATTACTGTTGATGTAGTTAAAAGATTATCTAATGTGAGATTATTATTGATCAGCAAATTCCACATGATATTAAAATTGCAATTTCTTTTATTAACAATACTTTTAATTAATTTAAATTTTTGATTTTATATAATATATTTTATATTAATATTTCTTTTTTTCTTTTTTAACTAAAAATATTTTTGTTTATATTCAATTTGAATATTATAATTTTAATTTAATGAAAATAAAAATTTAATGATGAGCTCAGTATTATAATTAATTACATTTTGCAAATACTTTTAAATAGTATTATAAAATATTATTTATAATATAAAAATTTAAAGAGTATATTATAGAATATAAAAGAAATAAAATATTGAAAATGTATTGATATTTGTAATTGATATTAATGATGAAAATTTTAAGATGAATAATAATGAATAAGATGACAAAAATGATGATAATAAATATTTAAAAAATTAAAATATACAATTTTAGAAGATTTGGTAAGAAAAAGATTTTATTATTATTATTATTATTTTATTATATATTTTGTGTATATATTTCCATTTATATTTTTTAATAAGAAATAAAATATTAGATTTTAAAATTTTTTTTTTTAATTTTAATTTTTTTTCTTACAGATTTGTATTAGCTTTTTAGTATTAATTAAAGTTTTATAAAATTTATATTTTAAATTATTTTATCTGTTTAGAATCAATTGTAAATCAAATAATTCTGCTAAAAATAATAGTATTAAATTTAATTTAAATCCAACTATCTGTTGATTTGAAATATTTTAACTATTAAATTTAATCATTATAAGATCTTTTTGTTTTATTTAAATTATATTGAAATACTTATTTTTTAATAAAATTTTGTAACTTTTAGAAATTTTTTAATAATATTATATTATTTTGAAACTAATCTAATTAAAGAATTTATTAGTATTGTATCTTAATATACAATATAAAACTTTTTAATATGAAAAAACTAGCATAAGATTATAGATAATATGTATGTAAAGTAATACTTGAATAAAAAAGTATAATATAAACTTAAGCATTTTAAACTATATATTAAATGAGATTTAAGATTCTAAAACTATTGATAAAATGTTAAATGTTTTGCTAACTGATTTAGTCAAACGTGCTAACTATAAATATGGTTCTTTACAAAGATATAAGCGTGATTAGTGTCCAAATTTTATAGTTAATAGTAGGATGGAACTATGATTGTTAACCAAACAAACAAAAAAGAATTGCCGGAAAGAATTTGGCTAACTGAGCCGCAAAATTATTATTAAAATGACTAGTGAAACGATAAAAGCAACAATTATGATTTAATATTCATAAGATTTAAACGAACCCACTTTTTTTATTATTTATGATGAACGTATGGACTATATAAATCAAATGATCTTCATGTAATTTTCCACGTCATATATACTAAACAATAAATACGAATCTATTAAAAATAATTGATGAATGAATGAAAAGAATAAAAAAAAAAAATATAATTATGTTGTAAAAATGTATATATATACATAAAATGCTATCTAAAACAATCATTAAAAAATAAAAAATACATTAACATTAAAAGTTATTTTTTTGCATGCTCAATTTGGTTCTTTTGCTCTAAAGCATAAGTATTATCAGGCTCAAATCTCAAGATAATTTTTAAATCATTAAGGGCAGCATCAAACTCGCCCAACGAAGAATAAATTGTACTTCTTTCAGTTAAAGCCAAGATATCATTAGGTTCTCTTAAAAGAACTTTGTTTAGATCCGCCAAAGCTTCTTGATCTCTACCTAAAATATGATATACGGCTCCTCTATTACATAAAGCTTTGGTTTCATAACTAATATTAAAAGCTTTGTCTCTAATATTTCTTATGGCACGATCTAAATCCAACAATGCTTGTGTATGAAATTTCATGGATCGATAAACAGCACCACGTAAAGCCAAAGGATAACCCCAATCCGGCAAAGACAGCAAAACTCGATTTAAATCATGCAAAGCATCATCATTACGACCTAATGCAGCTAAAACTTCGCCACGATAAGATAAGGCCCAATAATTATTTGGATCTAATTCTAAAGTCAAATTTAAGTCCTCAAGAGCATCTTCATACTTTTTTAACACATTATATAAAGCTCCACGAGTTTCCAAAGCGAAAATATTCTTTGGATCCAGAGATAAAGCTTTATTTAAATCCATTAAAGCTTCATTATTTCTTCTCAGCATGTAATACACAGCACCCCGATTTGTCAAAGCAAATACACTTTCAGGATTCAAATAAAGAGCTTCATCTAAATCTTTTAAAGCTTCTTCATAACGTCGGAAAGTTCTATTGACGGCACCTCTACTTTCTCTTGATATAGTATCATGAGGTTCTAAGTTGATAGCTTCATCTAAATCACGTAATGCTTTTGCACCTTCTCTCAACATGCGAAAAACTTCTCCCCTTCTCGAAAGAGCATAAACATTTGAAGGATCAATCTCCAAACATTTAGTAAAATCTTGAATAGCTTTATCAAAATCTTGCTCTAACCTGTGAAGTTCACCACGGTTTTTTAACACTTCAATGTCATTTGGTTCAATAGTTAGAGCAATATCATAATCAATGATAGCTTTATCATAATATCCGAGTAGATGTAATATTTCACCTCTACATTTCAGTAGGGTGAAATTCTTTGGTTCTAATTGAAGGGCCACTTCCAAATTAACTAACGCATCATCATGTTTACCAAATGATAACAATATTTCAGCCCGATTTTTATGAGCAAAGAAACTACGTGGATTTAATTGAATGATTCTCTCAAAATCAGCCAAAGCTTCCTTTTCTTTTCCCAACGCTTTTAATACGGCGCCACGCCTTTCCAATGCCAAACTATTCTCACCTATTGCCAATGCCATATCTAAATCTTTTAGGGCATCCTCAAATTTACCGGTTAATCGATAAACTTCACCACGATTTGCTAATATATTCGAAGCTTGAGAGGGATCTATTGCTAATGCTTTCGTTAAATCAGCGATAGCATCACCATAAATATTGAGCGAACAATAAACTTTTGCTCTTCTCGTCAAAGTGAAAATATTTCTTGGTTCCATCTCTAGAGCGGTATCCAAATCGCTTAATGAATCGTCATATCTTGCAAGAACGCTATAAACCTCAGCTCTAGACCTGAGAGCAAAAGGATGTTTTTGTATCTTTAATGATTTGTTTAAATCAATTAAAGCTTTATCATAATCACCCAACAAACGGTAAACTTCACCACGAAGAGAATATGCTTTTGGTCTTTTTGGTCTGCGGTTAATAGCGATGGTTAAATCACTGATAGCTCTCGTCCAATCTTCTAATTGATACGAGGCATACGCTCTATCGCATCTTACCGAATAACTGTTCGGATAAGTGATCAGAACTTGAGAAAGTAAACGAAGCGCTTCATGAAAATGCATCTCTTCCAACTCCTTTGTTGCTTGAACATAGATCTTGTTCGTTTGTTTTGACTTTCTAAAAAAGTTAAAACTGAATCGAGATTTTGTAGGTGATTTGCTTGATTTAGAAGGTTGAAGTGGCATCGAGACGGGTCTTTTCTTTGTCGTAGTTGGCTTTTCGTTATCATTTTGAAATTGAAATTGAGAATAAGGAGAGATAAAATCACTCGGTAAGGTGGCTCTGTTAGATTTAGACTTATTAGACTGACTAGTCAATGAATTTGTACTTCCTTCATTAGTGAAAAGGTACGGTCTACTACTAACATTATTTAATGACTTTGAATGACTCTCATTGGTGAAAGAGAATGATCGCTTGTTCAATGTATTTTCATCTAAAGAATTACTACTCATCTTAAAGCTATATATGCCACTACCATTATCAGGGTTCGGAGTTTGAGGACTGGGATTAAAATTACCATCAACATTTTTTCTTACACTATTTACACTAAAGTCCGAGTCGGAATCATTCATTGTTTTAGCATAAGTGTTATAATCAACTTTGTACGAGGAATAATTGATTTGTATATCAGGAGGATTATGAGATGATGAGAAACCATTATTGATGACATTAACATTCGTAGGAATCGGAGGAACAAAATTATCATTAGATTTATAAAATAGAAAATGTTCCTCACGGGTTGGTTGACGTTGATCATGAGGTGACACTTGCGGCGTGGATTGTCTTTGAACGGTAGAAAAAGTATTAAAATGGTTTGAAGGTACATTAGGTACATTCATTCTAACTCCTTGAATATTAGTTGAATCAAATGAAGTAATCGAATTTTTTACACTAGGGGAATCATTATGATTCTTATAAACGTCAGGAATATTAATACCGGGAGATTGATATCCCGAATCTTTGGAGAATGAACTTTGTGAAGGTGGTAAATTATCTCGAGGCGTTGCTTTTGAAGAAGTATCATTATCTGAAGAGATCAACGATATTTTACTAATCTTTTTTTTAATTTCTTTATTCCCTTGAGTACTAGTTGGAAGGTATTTTGAACCACTATGAGCATTCTCGGTCTCATCAACAGCAGCAGCAGCAGCTTTATCGGAAATCATGCTACCAGAAGAAGCGGTATTCGAGCTGATATTACTTTCAGCGGTAAGGTCAGGATTCTCGCTGGTGGTAACAATGGTATCCGTATTGACATTGATATTAACAACCTTGGCATTATTGAATGAATGTTGAGAGTTATTTGATGCAGACTCCTCATTATCACCGGTAGTTCCTAGTACAAAATCTCTTAATTGCACGTTAAACGGTGCCTTTTTTGGTTCTGGAGTATGACTTGCGGTGGAAGGGGAAGTTCGTGAACGAGAATGAGGAGGTGAAGGTGTGTGCGATGGTGATGGTGATTGTTGTAACCGAGTTGGTGAACTTCGTGAAGAATAGTAAGCCAATTTGATATTATTTGCCGGTGAAATTACTACAGCAGGAGGAGAAGCGGGTTCATTTGAAGACAATTCATCATTATCTTCGTCATCATAATCGCTAGCGTTAGAATCTCCTGTGGAGCTAGAATTATAAGGAATAAACTGAAGTGGATGTTTCGAATAGTAACCATCATGTAAACTACCACGTTTATCATATTTATTATTATTATATTTATTCAAATCTTTCTTTCTAAGGACCTTTTGATTTTTATTAGCATTCAATACTTTTTCATCCATTTCATGTTGTTCAACCGTGGCAGTTTGAACTTTTTGTAAAAGAGTTGGAGAAGTAACGATGTTTTGAGTGGGATCAGAAGGATTACCATTGTTGAGGTAATGTGACGTGGTCGAATCAACGGGCAAAGGTGACGAAGCGGCTGATTCATTGGTACCATTTTGAAAATAGGTATACTGAATGTGCGATTGATCATGTTGATCATGTGAAGGTTGCATCGGTTGCTGATTATTATACTGATTGATCATTTGTGGTGGTGGGGTACCGAATTGAGTCATGATTTTAGGTAACGATGATACTTGTCGTTTATGATTTGATTGTTGGTTTAATTCCGGTTGTGTGTTAATAGCAGGCAATGGTTTATTTAAGTTAATGGAACGCGTTTCATCCGTAAAATTCCTATCCTGAAGTTGTTGGAGTCGCTGTTGTTGTTGTTGTTGCTGTTGGATAAAGCTAGCATTATTATTATAACTACTATTATGCCACACATACTGTACGGGCTGCTGCGCTACAACACCGTGATATTCTGTACCGTTATTATTATTATTATTATCATATCCGAGATATCCCTATTTAAAAGAAATCAAAAATTTTTAATCAAGTAGGATTGATTAAAATGAAAAGTTTTTTTTTTTTTTTTTTTTAACATGATTATATCGTTACCTGTTGGGATGGTGTTGTAATCGGATGATGATGCTGTGGAATATCTTGATGTGGTGAATATGCTTTAGTTTTTTTACCCTTTTGTCTGGTAAATAGATGCATGATTAATTAATAATTTTAAATTCTTTTTTTTTTTTTTTTTAAAAAAAATTCTTTGATTTATCAAGGGGGAGAGAAAAAAAGAGAAAGCCTTTATATATGTGTATTAATTAACGTGTTCAAAAAAAGATTAATTTTTTTTGTACGGTATGTTTTAAATAGGTAATAGCGTTATTAGAGAAAGAAAAACAAAAATAAAGAAAAAGAAGAAAAAAAGAAGAGAGAAAAAGAAATACTAGGATTAAAAAGAGAAAATCCACAATATTTATTACAATAAAAATCAAGAAAAAAGTCATCACCTAAAATTAGAAAAACTGAGCACAAGATACTATATTAAGCAATTTATTTGTAACATTTTCGGAAGGGTGTACGTAAAATAAAGAATTTAAATTAATTATTTTGTGATTGTTTAAATTAATTTCTTTTTCATCAAATATTGCAGCAAATTTACGTGCTAACGTGACAAATCAAATTCCGATTTTTCTGTACAACCATCGTTTGGGATTTCACGACATTATAAAATTTAAACAGGCAAAGCAAGACCGCGCTTAATCGTACATTGTACAATGTCCAGTTTGGTCACGATGTAAAATTTAATACTGATTAGGAATAATTATAATGACGAGATGGATTGTTTTTTTTCATTAAATCCAATTTCGTAAAAATATGTATGCTTGGATTCTTTATTTTTTTTTTATTTTTATAGGATCCAGGAACAGCAATTATTTTTTTTTTTAAGTTGATTTTTTTACAAAAATGGCTAGTTCGGAAAAATCTTGGTTCGAAAAATCTGTGGGGTATGAATGTTGTCATAATTTAAAAATAACAAAAGTAACTTAAATTATATGGGCTTGTTATTTATCGATGTTTCAGATTGATTGTAAGAAGCCGAGTTCTTTCCATAATAACGTTTCAAATTTTAATAGATGTTTTCCCTTTCTCTATTTCAAGCATAATTAAAATTCGGCTTTTAATCATTCATCACGTGATATGCAATCATAAATGGCAATTTCATTGTTGTAACTTTGTGAAAGATAGTACGGGGATATAAAAGTCCATGATTCGATTTTTTTTTTTTTTTTTGGCATAATATTAAGTTCACAAATTCACAAATTCGTTTGATTTGTTCGGAGATTACGGAGTTTTCCAATAATTTCTAAAAAAAATAGCTAAAATACTATTTTTAGCTTTAAATTTAGGAAATCACTCTATATGACAACGAAAATATATGTAGTTGATCAGATCTAAGATAAACCTTCACACATTCCACTATTTGGTTAAAAATATATATATTAATGACATCAAAGATCCAAAAGACTTAAAAAGTGTTGATTGTTCCGAAAAGCATACAAAAAGGCAATCGGTATAGAGAGGTCTATTTATAGTAGTCCGTATTATTAGAAAGGGAACCAAATTAATTCTTTGAGGCGTTGTAAGCCAAGCACGGTGAACAATGCACCGAAAACTCTGGCTGACTTATCTGTGAAATCTTTTTTTTTCGATGAAACAGGAAATAGAATAAATTAAAAAAATAAAGTTAAGAATAAAAAGTAAGCGACTAAACAATCTTCCATTATGATACTCGGTTGATGAAGTCGCGAAAGGAAATTTCTTGCCTAAACAAGAGATCTGCTTGTTCAAAAAAAGAAAAATTCACGGCAAACATTACATACAAAGGATAAAAAAAAATTTAATTTTTCCTTTTTTTTTTTTAAAGTATTTGGCTAACAAAGAAAAAGTAATTTTTTGTTTTGTTTATTGTGGTTAAAAAAAAAAAAAAAAAAAAAAAAAGGTTTAGAAAAATATATGGTTCTCATTGATGCAAACGACAACAGTTTTTTAAGCGCAAATTCACCATTTGAATTTTAACCGCCCATACAAATGCGAAATGATTATCATGTGATGCATGTATCATAACAATGCGCGTTTTTATCTTTTTAAAAAAAAAATAGATCATGGGAAATCTAATGTAAAAAATTATTAACATCAATACATGAAAATAAATAATAAATATTGATAATAATAACAGTAAACATTAACAATATCTGTCACCCCATATAGCAACTTGTTTTGTTAAGATGTATGGGCTATCATTTTTTTTTTTGTCAATCAACGAAACCTTCTTTTCAACAACAAAGGATGTATTCCTTCTTATCAATCAAATTGATTGCATACAATTGGATTTTTGTAACGGGATTCCAGTTCCAAATCCTTAAATGTCCTTAGAAGATTCTAAAGAATGTGCTTAAATAACATTTTAAGTTACATTGAATATTTACACATGAATATGTGTGTACGAAAATACCTAACCTATGAAAGTTTCAAAATTATTTATAAAATCCCGTTGCAATCATGTGATTTATTATTAATGATTTTAGGTAATACATTTAAAAATAGCATAGGCAATTGTATTTTGGTAAAACCTGCCAAAAGTACCAATGATATTCTTTTTTTTTGAACCTGTAAGTTTATATCCTCATAAATATTTACATCGTTAATTCAAAATAGTTGACAAACATACGTGTTTCTTACAAAATTAAATCGTTCGATTTTGTTATTATTATACATATAACGACAAAGATGACATTGACGAGCGTAATTAGATGAGGGGCAAGAGATGACGACATTTGATTTTCTGACCCTTTCCTCGTCGTTGAGAAATCTAAAATGGAAATTATATAACGTCATCGTGAACGAACCCCCCTTGATTATTCATTGATCGTAAGCCGTGGATGGTGTGTATTTATTTTTATGCTTTCATTCTTACCCGTTTTTGTCCATGAAATCTCAAAGAAAATTTTGATCCTACAAGAAAGTTGTCCGATTTATGATTACTATTTTTACAAGGCATTTATGGACTGAAATTACGGTAATTTTTGGCCGGAATTGAAATATCGAATCAAATTAGTTTAACCTTTCTTCTAAATCGTCCCTGATTAAAGGTCAGCTGATATTCCTTCCAAATTTTATACACGCAGTTATTCCGCGATCTTTTGGAAAAGAGAATTTAAAATTCGTTTTCGAGCAAAGTTTATTCAAATGATTGTTACACGTATCTATCTTTATGTTAAGATATCTTTAACCGTTTTATTTATTTATTTTTTTTTTTTTATGAAATATTTACAAAGGTTAATTAATGTAAAATTAATTAATTTACGAGTCTATACATGTATTTAAATTAAACAAGCGTAATGAATATGAAACTGGCTGTTCCGATTAGAAAACTTATTGCAATACTCCATATTCCATGACTCCTATTAAAAATGATGCTATTACTATTGCCAAAGTCTTGAGCAATGTCTGTTGGCTCAGTCATGGGTGATGTCACTTTCTTTACGACGACCACCGTACTCGGAGGCATATAGGAAGCGAAGGTTGAAGGTTCACCTTCATTGTCCGTCGTTGTTACAAACTTTGTTGTACCAGGAATAACTGTCGTATATGTTGTTGTAAACGTTGTAAATTTTGTTGTTGGTTTTTCTTTCTTTTTATCATCTTCGTTATTCGGATTTTTGGGAGTCGGAGTAGGAGTCGGTGTTATTAATTCGTCGGGTGCAGTGATAGTAGGTAAGATTGTTCTACGATTTTTTGAATTGTAGGTAAGTATCTTTGAGTGATGATTAGAAGTATCAAAAAACAAATTTCTTTTTTCCTTATCCTTACTTACTTCGTGGATGGTTGCTCATCTTGTTTCGGGGTATCTACTTGTTCTGGAGGGTCATTTTGTTTTGGAGGGTCATTTTGTTTCGGAGTGTCATCCTGCTTCGGAGTTTCAACTTGCTTGGGGGTTTCTACTTGCTTCGGCGTATCATCTTGTTTCGGAGTGTCATCTTGCTTGGGGGTTTCAACTTGTTCCGGAGTGTCATCTTGCTTGGGGGTTTCAACTTGTTTCGGAGTGTCATCTTGCTTGGGGGTTTCAACTTGTTTCGGAGTGTCATCTTGCTTGGGTGTTTCTACTTGCTTCGGGGTTTCATCTTGTTTGGGGTTGTCTACTTGTTCTGGAGGGTCATTTTGTTTCGGAGTGTCATCTTGCTTCGGAGTGTCATCTTGCTTGGGTGTTTCTACTTGTTTCGGGGTATCATCTTGTTTTGGAGAATCTTGTATAGGTTGCTTTGGGGTATCGTCTTGATTGGGTTGCTTGGGGGTATCGGGTTGCTTCGGGGTATCGTCTTGTTTCGGAGCGTCATCTTGCTTGGGCGTTTCATCTTGCTTGGGAGGGTCATTTTGTTTCGGGGTATCATCTTGTTTCGGAGTGTCATCTTGTTTCGGGGTATCATCTTGTTTCGGGGTGTCATCTTGCTTCGGGGTGTCATCTTGCTTCGGGGTGTCATCTTGCTTCGGGGTGTCATCTTGCTTGGGGGTGTCATCTTGCTTGGGGGTGTCATCTTGCTTGGGGGTGTCATCTTGCTTGGGGGTATCATCTTGCTTCGGAGGGTCATTTTGTTTCGGGGTATCATCTTGCTTAGGTTTATCTACTTGTTTTGGATTGTCATCTTGTTTCGGAGTGTCATCTTGTTTTGGAGTATCTTGTTTAGGAGTGTCATCTTGTTTCGGTTTCGGAGTATTGGGATTATCTTTTGGAGTCGCTGGTTCTTTAACTTGTCGTTTTTGCATTGCATTTCCCATTATTAGATTGGAAATTGGCGAAGCTCTCGCATTTGTGATAATCAAAATCGATACCAATAAAATAAGAATGGTCAATGTCCATTTTTGACTTGATCGAAGTATTCCCATATTTGATTTTAATAAAAATTAAGTTGAAATTTTCTGAATCTATCAGAAAGTGTATAAGAAATTTTTATTTAAAAAAATCAAACTAATTTATTCCCGAAACGAAGCAAAAGAGATGACAATCCTGCTGTCAATCTCAAAAAAAAAAAAAGGAAAAGGAAAAGAAAAAGAAAAAAAAGAAAAAATAAAAATTGGATTGCCGATTCTTGAACGAGTGGGGGGTTTTTATATGTATTATATAAAACGTGGCAAAAAAAGTACGCCCCCTTCTCTGCACGTTTAAGTATTATTTGCTTGGAACATTGTTCAATTGTTTAGTAAGTTCTTTTTACGAAAATGGTAAGCAAAATGTTTCTTTCTTTTTTTTAAAAAATTCATGTACCTAATTAATCGAACTGTAAAATGATATCACTTTTACATCGTTGTACAATCGATTGCATTAATTTTCCTTCTATAAGGTTATAACACAAAGAAATCATTTAAAGAACGACCGTTAATAATTCAATAAAATGTGGTGATGTCTAACAAAATTAGGCAAAGTTAGAAAATGCCAAGCTTTAGCATATATACTTGATATATTTCAGAAAAAAGTAACTAGTAAAGTTGATCATCATTACGCAAATGAACCATGGTGTACTCCTATTCTAACCTTTTAAATATTTTAATTTGGTTGACCACATTGCAGCATGAGATCGTTTTATAATGCATTGGAGAACAACCGTTTCTTAAATTCCCATATTCTCCGAAAAAAATTTAAAATTCGGTTGATAATCGTGTCTAACGCCATTTACCTTATATACCTAAGAGATCTCTTGATTACCATATGTGGGCATCATATTTTACGAAGATAATATGTGCATATGTACTTGCATCCACGTAACGAATATCAATAATTTCACTTAATAATTTCTTTTTGATAGCGTTTCATCACGACGCCAAAACTAGCATTCAAGAGGGATTACCGTTTTTTGAAATTATTCTATTGTATTAAATTGGGATCACAAGATAAAGTATCTTCCTAACTTTTAGGATTAAATCGTACCTGTTAGTTTTTTTGCATCGAGACACGTAAGGAGACGTTTTTTTTTCACATATGAGATTGTGTTTCGTTTTTTGCCATTATTAGCATGTGGGAATTGGTAAAAATTTCATTTTGTACTGCATGATCATTGTATACAAAAAGTCAGAAAATCCCCCTCCTGAGCGATATTATTAATTTGATGGTCTAACGGTCTCACATAACTTTATTGACACGTGTTGTAAAACATTGATAAAATTTTACTTTATTTATTTCCATTATAGTATTTTCTCCCCAATTGAGGAGACAAAGGAGCATTAAAGCCCGATTTCAATAAATAAGTGCTCTGGCGCAGCTAGCCGCATATGGAATTTGTCAAACACTAAAAGTAAAATATATAAATTCGAGATTTTGACCTACTTTTCTTTTAAAAAAAAAAAGAAAAAAGAAAAAATATATATACAAATATATATTTTTTCTTTGATTTTATTTTTCTTTAATTTGTGATTATTATCATCATTTTTTTTTTGATTTTTTTTTTTTTTTTTTGATTTTAATAGTAAAAAATTAAACTACCCCGGTGGTCGGTCAATGATGTTCTAGAGAAAACGGATTTAATATAGCGATAATCAACACACTCATTAATACATAACTAAATTGATTTTAGTTTAGACGGGCTTATTCATCCCTTTTTTTAATTACTTAAATCGAAAGATTTCTACATATATCCCCCTTTCTCAAATCAACAAATTGTAATAAAAAAAAAAAAAATGTCTTTACTTTCACAATCACCTCGAGTTAATACAAATGGTGTTGACCGCCATTCACCGCCTCTCCCCCATTCTCCTGTTAACAAACCCTACACAAACGATGACGATGCATACGGCGGATTGGACAATATTCCCCCTTCTCACCAAAACAATCCATCCCCCTATTATAATTATCCTTATAAATATCCTGATAATAATGCAAGCAGAGCAAGTCAAAGTAGTGAAGATAATTCATCAAGTAAAGATAACTTGTTTCGCAACTTCTCCTTAATCAACAAGTCCCTTCCATCCCCTCCAAAAAATTATTCCACGTACCCACAAACAACGGAGCTAACTCCATCGCGTGACTTGGATCTGGAAGTAGATAAACCGAGAGACAAAGGATTCCTTCGCTTTCGTAATAAAAAAAAGGCCTACTGCTTGATTTGTTGCGGAGTTACAGTTATTATCGCCATCATAATGATTCCATTGATAGTCTATGTGATAGCTCCTTCTATAGCACAGGGAGCTGTGACCGGAAGTAAATTGGCTTTTTCTAGCGTGTAAGTAACAGTTTGATCCTGATAAATCATGGAAAATAAATTACGTTTTTCTTATCCTCGTGTTTCTCGTTTATTTTATCTTTTAGTAATCTCACTCAATTATCGGAAGATGACTTCATGATGAGTGTATCGGGAGAAGTAACCAACACTGGTCCTCTTCAAGCTACGATTGAGGTCCCTGGTGGCGTAACGGTCACATGGGAGTCGCTTGTCATTGGACAATTACCTCTGGATACTATAATCGCTCAGCCTTTTGTTGGCGCAAAAATTGCGTCATCACAAAAATTCAAGGTCTTAAATAAGACCGCTTTTGCTGAATTTAATAAATTTATGTTGAGAGAGCGTGAATTTACGTGGCATTTGGAAGGAATCGCTTCGGTAAAAGCTTCTGGACTCAGTCTTCAAGGAATTAGGTTATCAAAAGACGTTACAATGGGAGGTAAGATTATCAAAAGGTTTTTTTTTTTTTTAAAAAAAAATTCAATTAACTCCGTTTGAATTTTAAATCTTCTTATATAGGCATGCAAAATTTCCCTTTAGTAACAATAGATAGTTTCGACGCGCCAGCGGAACATCCTGACGGTGGAATTGAAATTGAAATCGTTTCAACAATGGGAAATCCTTCACCGATAGGAGTTCAATTAGGAGATTTGGTTTTCGATGTTGAATACCTTGGTCACATTGTAGGCGAAGTTGGAGCAAAGGGAATAACGTTAGCATCCGGTAAAAATAAACTTGTTCTTAAAGGTCGATTGATTCCTCAGAAAGACGCTGAAAAATTAGCAGCAGTTGGGGATTTATTTTCTAAATTTATTACGGGGAAAAATGCTACAACTGGTGTGATAGCCAAATCGGTTAGACCGAGTAATGGAAGTGAACCGATAAGTTGGCTTCAATCCGCTTTTGAAGGAACTAAATTGTCGGTTGTGTTAGAAGGAGGAAAAAACTTGAATATTATCAGTAGCGTCGATATTAATGCATTGGATTTACAATTCAACGCCGAGAATCAATATACCCCTTTGGCAAGTTCTTCTTCGCTTACGGCAGGGTTTAGCATTCCATTTGGATTTCCATTGGAAATGAAACAAATTTCTCAAGAGATCACAATGTTTGATGGTGATAAGGAGTTAGCCAGTTTGGGATCACCATTCACGGCTGCAAAAGGAGATTCAAAGTCAGGAAAGATCGAAACAAGTTTTGATCCTATCCCTTTCAAAGTTTCTAGTGGTTCTGAAGAAACATTTGATGAATTCAGCAAAAGTTTAACTTTAGAATCAAGCGTTACCGTTAAAATGAAAGGTGTTGCGAATTCAATTGCGAAAACTCCCGTCGGTGATGTGGAGATTAAGGGAATCGAATTTGAAGTGCAATCCACATTGGCCGGAATTCAAGGATTAAAAACGAAACCTGCCGTCGTTAATTCCCTTGTTGTTAAGGGTGGAACTGCAGAAAATATGTTGATCGAATTATCTGTTTCATTATTTAATCCATCAAATGTCAAGATTGATATGGGAGGTGATGTTATATTTGACTTATTATTTCAAGAGCAATTCATTGGTAAAGTAGTGATGGAAAAGTTTGTGTTGGAACGTGGTGAAAATAATGCAAAGGTTATTGCCCAATTCGGTCCACAAGGTGAAGAAGCCACTAAGGCTGGTCGTGAATTACTTAACAATTTCATGGTTGGAAAACCAAATACGGTTGCGATTAAAGGGTCCACTCAATCAACCACCATTGCTCCATTACAAAAAGCATTGGCAGCTTTGGAATTAACAACTTCGATGCCTGGATTGAAAACTGAAAAGCCTATAATAGAAGAAGCGAGATTTGCCATCGGATTTAACACAGTATTCGATTCAAAAGGAACTGCCTCAATTGATGCGTTTAATCCATTAGATGCCACTATTAAATTTTTGAAAATTCAATCAAGCATAAGCGTAAAAGGTGAATTAATCGGTGTCATTGATCAAGACTTAAGCGCGGATCCTGTGGTCATCCCGTCCAAACAAACCGTTACGACAAAAGATTTTGATCTAAATTTAAAGATTAGTGGGGCGGCTATTAAGAGCCTGTTTGATTCTTTGGCGGGAAAGTTAAAAACTGATATTACCTCTACGATCTTGGTCGCTATTGGTGATTTTGTTACTGAAATTGATTATAATCAAAATGGGGTACAAACTGGTTTAGGAAAGGGTGCTGCTGAATAAACTTAGTATATCTTTAATTTATTATTCTTCGTTATTAATGTAATATATAAATTAAAAACAATATTCTTATTTTTCTTTTTTGATTCTGTGTATATAAAAATAATAGACATTTTACAATGACTAGATATCAAAATGATGTAATATAACAAAATAAATAATTTCTAATATTTAATTTAATGCCTAACAAATCATATATAGCACATTTTATAGGACTGTTAAGGATAAGGAGTTGGATTTTTATATTGTTTTTTAATATTTATATGATAATATAAAATATATCTTTATTAATATAAAAAAAATAATATAAAATATTATATTTTTAAATTCATATATATTTAAACTTATATAATTTTTAATAGAATATTTATTAATTAAAGTAAAATAAGTAGTAGTTAATAGGTTAGTTTATAATAGATAAATACCTTAAAGCAGTATTGGGTTTGAACACATTTTTTGATTTTAAATA